ACCCTGTATGATTGTGAATTTTTTAGAAATATGACTTCAGATACCATATATAATAAACCATAATTACTTTCTGTGAAAAATATTCGTTTAGGAGCAACGGTTGGGACACCCTGTATTTTTTGTTAAGTAATATGTTTGCTTGTGCAAGTTACCCTTTGAATAGAATGCAGTACAGCTCAAATTTAAAACCATAGTCAATCCAATATGGACCTTTCTATTTTCTTGATTAGACCGTTTATGAGATAGAATTTACCCACAAAACACCGTTTTTATAATTTATTGCAGCCAGCTGCAACATATCTAGAATTTTTTAAAACATAAAAGAAGGTCACAAACAAATAAAAGTCTAGTGCAGAAATTTCTTCTTAAGTATCAAGAGTAATTCAGACTCATCTGTTGCAAAATACCATTTGAATAATATTCACGCGAAGATACCTTCAAAATATGACAGTCTCAATCAAGATTCACTCATTTTGCATTGGGAGATTTTGAAAAATATATTGATTATATTTAATGTAGAGAATTTAACTCGAACAAACAGCGAAACTACACAGAATTTATCTAAGCAGTAGTATCACTCAATATAAATTCTATGAAACTACATTTATATAACAGTGAAGCAAGATAAACTATCTGGGTCAGTCAGCTGGAATATGAAAAAAAAAGATTCGACGAGACCAGTTACTCGTCCAGAAATACGATAGTTAATTTGATAAGATTATAGATATTTTATTTATTAGGGTGTTGAAGCTTCATAAAATAATGTTAATTATATTTAAGTTGCATTATTTAATTATACACGGTATACGAAAGGTGCAGTTACAGCAAAACAATTTGAAAAACATTGATCCTACAAAAATCTTAGAATACAGAAGTTGTAGGTGAGTTCTCAGATAATTTGTCGTTGACCATAGTTTGAATCACCACTTTGACCATTGCAGTTATTTTACTGCCATGCTTTGTTACGAACAGAAGTCTTGTCGGCCATGAAATTAGTGGAAAATACATTTGAGGTTAATGTCGCATCCCATTAAAGGAGTCTGGAGACCTCGCAGTAAAATAACAATGACCATGATTTTAAGCGATGATTGTCGTATGTTAGGTTAGCTAAAAAGGTAGATTTCAACGGCAAATCACAATAACCATGGTTTTAAGCAAAAATTGTAGTATGTTGGATTTAAGCACAACATTCAAGATTCATTTTGAATGTGAATCAATCAAATCAATAATATCTCTCTATTAGCCAAAAATAGCATGCCCTTTAAGTAACAGAAAAAACATCAAGATCCAGCCGTATCAAGTAGTCTCCTACAACTTCAAGGCCAACAAAAGTTTCTATTATAGTTTTCAAAGTATTCAGATGCACCTACACCTAATAAATACCCTGTAATAAATATCTACTAATCATGCTTTCTCGCCGATTGACTACTCCCGTTGCGCTTATTGCACCAATTCGGCTACCACCCTGGACAGGTCGTCTTCATATCTGGCCAACAGGGTGGCGTTCAGGTCCCTGTTCCAGAAGCCCATTTCCGTCAAGGCTTGCAGGTTGGCCTCTCTCGTAGCGTTAGGATCGGTCGATACCCAATGCCCATTCAACCAGTAGCCGGGGCGCTGTTGGGAAGGTGGTTCGTTAGGCAGAGATGCGGATGGTTGAGGTTGGTGGACGATTGGCTACAATAACAAGCGAAGCGGATATGATACGTGGCGTTCCGCAAATTCGTGAAATATATTTATTGTTCATTCATTTGTCTAGATCGTTTCGCTGTGTGTACGTACAACGGCTGCTTGGACCACTAGTACAAAGGGTACATACAAGTTTTGCAATATGACTTAACAAACTGTCGCAGGAGGCTGCATGTTGAGGCATGTCTATGAGTGCATAGTAGCCGCCAGCAGCACGTCTGTTGATTTAGTTGTTCATGCGTATTGACAGAGTAAAGTGCGGACTAAGGCATCGTGGACACGTAGTGAGACAAGGGGAGTTTTACAGTATAACTTTACGCGTGGTTTAACACGTTCACGACGGCAATGCATGGAGTAAAACACGACTGTAGCCGTTAATTGTTTTTTTCGTTTTTTAGTGCAAATATACATTATCTGTAATATAATTTCTAGAAAATGTGTGAGTATTATTTTGAGTTTTGAATACCTGTTTCAATATGTACCATCGGTGGTACACGACGGCTTTGATGATTCTTTTTTTCACTATAGCCTTAGTGTACCACCAGTGGCCACTGAGGGAAATGAAAAGTTCAGAACACAAGCGGTGTCAAAGAGGAAATAAAGCCAAGCCTGTCTCTACATTTTAGGAAAATTGTCCAGAACAACCGACACTATGTCTTCAATGTTTTAATGAAATTCATAAGAAAAGTTTTACCTCAATACATAAGCGCTTACTCCCATTGTTAGAAAAAATATTTTTGCGTTATGTTTCACTAATTATTTTAACCCCTTACTCAGTTCAGTTACTTCATATGGTTGTTACAGTGTGTTTTAGAAATAAAATCTTATGAATATCATGGATTGTTATACCTCTAATTAAATTTCATATACAATTCACAATTATAGTCAAATGCGGCACCGGTGGCGCACTAATGTGTACTTACTATCTTTAGAGCCGTCTGTCGAATATTCAGTTCCATACTATAAGCCGTAAGGATTGGTAGCTCGTGAAATAATCAATTGAAAGTGTACCACCGGTGACCAGTGACGATTTTTGGCAAGATAAGCGATGTACCACGTCGTGGTGAACGTGTTAAGCATAGACCAAAGTCTAGAAGAAATGACGCTTGGATTAAAGAATGATTGTCTTCATGGTACGACTATATTCAGGTGGTACAGAGAATCTCAAAGGAGCAATTTCACTCTGGAGGACGCTGAGAGGAAAGGAAGACCGCGAACATCAGTAACAGAGGAAAACCATTACTGCTGTGAGGAAAATGCTTGACGAAGACCGGAGAGTGACATACCAACAGTTAGAGGGGTCCTGACACCTTCATGCACCAGTAATTCATTCAATTCTGCAAGACCATTTACACGTAAGGAAACTTTGTTCTTTCTGAGTACCGCAGTCGGAAGAGCAGAAGACTCGTCGTACGACTTGGTGTCGAAAGGTGCGGAAAATGTTTGATAAGGGACGATCTCGGTACGTGAACAGGATTGTGTCAGGTGACGAGACTTGGCTCCATTATTACGATGTGTCGACCAAAGCTCAAACAAAGTTTGGGTCTTTGATGATGAGGACACACAAGTAGCTGTTAGAAAATCCCGTCTGTTAAGAAAAAAATGACAGCTGCATTTTTCAAATCGAGTGGGATTGTGGAGCGTGTCGTTTTGGACACACAGAAGACAGTCACTGCTAAGTGGACACGGAACAGTACCTGTCTAAAGTCATAGAGTCTACGAAACCCTGCAGTCAAAGTCAAGAATGGACTCTCGGTACCTCCACCATGACAACGCTCCAGCTCGCCGCGCCAAAGCCTGCATCGAGTATTTGACCACTACTGGACTGAAATTTATTGAGCCCCTTCCTTACAGTCCAGATCTTGCTCCCTGCGACTGTATGTACTGTATCCGCATTTGAAAATGAAGCTAAAAGGAAAACGGGTTTCTAGTGATTAGGACCTTCTGAGGGCTTGGGTCAACGAGTGTGCCGCACTCCCGGGTGAAACTTGTCAAAGCTGGTTTTGGCGGATGTATTGAATGTGGTGGAAATTACTTTGAACGAAGTCATTAAATTGCAAAACTTTTATAGTACCCTTTGTATCGCACAAGTCCGGAAGAAAATATAACTTGGAACTTAGCAAAATTGAGATGTAACACTCAGTATAACGTGTAGGATGTTAGATCTACAATCAATATATTTTAGTGGGACTGCTGATTGATCAGCACCAAAAATTAGAATTGCACACCTACTTCAATTCAAGTTTGAATTTGGCTAAACTGCCTAGAATTGTTCCGAAACCGCGAATAAAATTACTTGTTTGTGATTTTTATGTGATATTGAAGCGCTTCTCTTTCTAGATCCATTAGACTGTGATGCCCTGTGGCAAAATCTTGCCAATGAGGTTAACCTTAAGCTGATCTGATCCTCAATTTCAATATTTTTGTTGCACCAGGTGGACTTAAAACTTGAGTGGAACCTAAATAGACAGTTGACCTAAGTTGAAAATTTCTTCTGCCTTCAGTGGTTTTTTTACATAAAATGTACCTTGGTTTTATGTAACAACTTGACGGCCGAGTATATCAAGTTAAAATTTAAAACGTTTGAATATGTGAAATATGGATATAACTAACGCAAACATTGCTCAAGTTGACGAAATAAATCGGCTGAATATGGGATTCCTTGCCAAATCCGCAATACAAAAGAATATTCCAAGAGTTATGATAACAGGGCAGTTTTCCAAAGATCTTGCCTCATCCGAAACCAGCTCCGTACATATTGAGGCTAACTATAACCTATAACAGTAGTCGATGTCCGATAGTACGTCAATAGGTCATTTTCATCACACATCTTCACTTCGTACTGAATAGATGACGAACACAAATGATCGCTCATTTAATTCAATGCAAATTAGCTCCAGGATTTACAAGAAATAAGCAAAAATAGAAGGAGCGATTACATTGAACTAAATTGCCATCCGTGTTTGAAAATGATATATCACCATTAGTAAAATACACCGCAAAATTGTGACAAAATGTGACAGATATTGACATATAACCAAGCCAACCAATTCTGTTGTAGTTGCTAACGTAATTCCCCTAAAAAGTTACTATAGATAGACTGTTATGAGATGTACCTTATCTGAGTTTTTACCAAATTGTAGTGGTGCAGCAGAAACCTAATTTGAGGTTGATATCATATGGATCACCTTCGATTTGAGAGATGTGTTGCAACCGCGCATGAGTACGATATGTAGCCGAAGGTGTCCATAACTTAAGTGACTTAACAAATATTTGGATATTTTGTGACTGAGTCTAAACATAGTGCATCTTTCAGGGGTGACACGAAAACGATATTTCACTACTATTGGGACGCACCACATACAAGCGAATACTATCATAGTTTAAGCAGCGATAGCTGGACTTCAAATATTGAAATTGGACTGTGCAATCACATTAAAAACGTTTGGCAAAATGAACCAAACATTTGAAAATGTGCTTGCTAATCTATGAGCTACCAGCATCTAAAAGTAGTGAATGGAAGAGAGCTTCAACTAAGGTGATATTTGGTAAGTTAAAACTAAGAAACGCATCATAAGCTAACTAAAAAACATTTCCACAATATGTAACTGTAAAAAATGATTTGTGGTCTTTAGCGGGGTTATTGCGTGGACGGTGTATTTGCTATGTGAAAGTATCAAAGCGAAACAATAAATAAAACCAAAAACTGAAAAGATTCTACTATACATCTTACCTACTCATGCTTAGATACTAACCTCAGTGGGCAGAACTCTGTTGATCACTGACCGAGCAGTACTGATAGCTGAAGAGGCAGCATTCAGAGTACCAGTTACCAACATTTCTGGCAAGATATGCAGTGGTGGAGTGTTGCGGCTGCTTGTGCTACCCTTTGAGTCTCTTCTATCTACACCAGCCTGAAAAATATTTTATATTGTTCGACTATTACGTTCTCTGCAAACCAAACTGTATTTTCAAAATTACAAATATTACAAAATAAAGCTATGAGAATCATCTTAAATAGAAATAAATAAACTGAAATAAATTTTACGCTAACAGAACAACAATGGTTAAATATCAAAAATTGCATAAGCTAATTGGTTTTCATTTTCATATTCAAGTTAAAAGCGTTTTTATATTCACGTCATCGTCAACTGAAAGGTCAGTAATGTTTTTCCCGCACCATCCAACATGTAAACGCGCTCTGTTCCAATGCACATAACCATAGTCTTTGATCCGTCTCAATACAAGATACAATCAAAACCAACTAAAGACAAAGAGAATACTCACCCTTTTATCAGCTGGAGTGGCATTTGTAGTAGATGCATTTTCAGATCCAGCTCTGGAGCCTGCAGTTGGGGATGTAGGTGCGGTATTGAAGCTTGGCGGTTTTGGTCTTTCTTCTGGTGGAGTCTGTTGATAGTTTGGAGTGTGTTCGTTGGGCGCTGAAGGTTGTTCGGTGGTTACCGGTGGTGTGGTGTATGCATAAGATGTTGCTAGAAGAAGTCAGATTGTGCTATTTCCTGATAATAGTAAGTTGTTACGTCATTTGAAAAAATGCAGCAACGATGCGCTTGAAAACCGTCAAAGTCGCTCGAGTATATGTCAGAAGTAAAGGCATTGTCAATTACGTTTACTACCCCAGGCCATTAGGTGCAAAAGCATCATATTTGTAAACAAATGAAAAGAAATATAAAAAAATTTTTTTTGAACTTTAGCACTGGATGTGCGTTGTTTATTGATCTCATTTTTATACAGTTTGTGGAATCTAGCATAATAATAATGAAATACACCCACATCTCATCTTTTCCGGAGAAATGCATAATTTCCTCCGCTCATAACAAATTTTGAAGTAAATTGTCACAGGAAGTCTGATTTTGGAGAGCACTTCCCTCTGTTTGAGATTAAAGACATATACAAGTACAAAAAAGAAAATGCTTCTTAATAAGTATTTTAGATAAGTGCTTTTAAGTATAGTTCCATTTTGTATCTATATATTTTCTATTCCTTTTCTGTACATTGCATCTGTTTTTTTTTATTTTGTTGTTTTTTTAATTCTTGTACAGTTTTATTTATACGTGTGCTCTGGCAACAAATTTCTGATGGTTGACACCTTTGACGGTTGACATATCGTTTGATCAAGCGAATTTGATGGCTGCAAACCGTTCGAAAATCATTGCTACATGGCTAACATGGATTATATATCGGGTGTTTCAAATCCGACTCGCACCATTTGGATCTCAGAAATGGTAAGAGATTCGAAGTCGATTAAATGGGAGCAACGTTGTACATTTAGGTAACTAAGAAAATGCAACCTTTGCCACTTTTTCTACAATGACACATCAGTCGAAGATTAATAGTAGTTGAATGCAGATGTGTGCATCAGTTCAGATATAGCAGATATAAAGTGTGTTTAAGAAGCTGCTAAACCCGGAAATAAGACTGTCTGTAAATTAAGTGATAAGACTGGCAACGTAGCGTTCGATATGGCGACACTGGAGGCGCCGGGCTCGGAGGGGAACATGTGATCCGCCTTCAGTACTAGTTTGAATTCGCTTGAGTCATTTGGTTGTACGTACATATTTTTTTTTTGTGAAGCAGTTTTTTCTATTGTACTAAACATGAGGGACATCAATCTCTAGCATCAGTGTGCTTTCAGGTTTTGCTTCAGGATTGAGCACAGAGCAACGGAAGCTCTTTCTAATCTTCAGCAGACATTTTCAGGCGGGAGGGAGACGATTGAAGATGGACTACAAAGCGGAAGGCCTTCATGTTCAAGAACCGATGAAAATATAGATAGAATCCGGGATCTTGTGCGTTGAGATCGTCGGGTGAGTCAGAATGATCGGAGAAGAGTTAAATTTGACTGACACCACCGTCATCACGATAATGCTTTTTGTCACACAGCAATGTCAATAAACGAGTTTTTGGCCAGTAAAAACATTACTGTGGCTCCTGAGTCTCCTTATTCGCCTGACTTGAGTCCTTATGACTTTTTTCTCTTCCTTAAGTTAAAAAATCACCTTCAAGGGAACTCATTTTGACACAGTCGAAAACATTCAAACAGCTGTAACCGAGCAGCTGAAGGCTATTCCAGTATTGGAGTTCAAGCACTGCTATCAGGAGTGGAAGAATGGTCTCCAGCACTGTGTGGCTTCAGAAGGAAGTTACTTTGAGGGTGACAACATAAAATTGCAATTATATTTGAATAAAAAAATCAGTCTCATCACTTAATTTACAGACCTTGGCTGATGACATTTCAAATTGTGAAACACACGCCTTTTTGTTAATTTCAAGACCTTCTAAGGGAATTCTGTTTTTTTAATAGCTAAGATTTAGTAATATCGATGTATTGTCCATTATCCATTTTTCAAATCAAAATTAAAAACTCTATTTACCTATGCAAAAACCCAATATGGCGTTCTGTAAGAAAAAATAAAGTTTATGATTGAGGAGAAGAGACGAAATGTCATATTGAAATTCTAATTATGCCATCATCTAGACGAAAAAAAAAATGGTAACTTTAATGTACTCTTTATTTTGAATTCCCATCTCAAAGTCAGGAAAAAATAAAAATGATTTTGGGAAAAATCGGCTACTTTCGTCTATATTCGTAAATACTCGGAATACTCAAATACGCAACGTTGCCCCTGTTTAAACAATTATACATCTCCTACCGCTTCTGAGATCCCACCCATTTTATAATATATATATATATATATATATACAAAGAGAATACGATCATGCGGAGAAAAGTATATAACAACAGGTAGGAAAATAATGGGTAAAATCCGTAAAAAGGAGGAAAGTGGATTCGAGCAGAAAATAGGATAGGTAACCCGAGCGATACGTATTTCTGCTGGTTGGCTTCATCAGGCCCGAAATGAATGCACATATGAAACGACAAAAGTAGATACACATGTCCACACATTCGGATACGGGTGTAACCTGAGGAAACGAAGGAGGGGAAAAACGACACACGAAGTCCGCAACTCCGTTTCCTCAGGTTACACCCGTATCCGGATGTGTGGGCATGTGTATCTACTTTTGTAGTTTCATATGTGCATTCATTTCGGGTCTGATGAAGCCAACCAGCAGAAATACGTATCGCTCGGGTTACCTATCCTATTTTCTGCTCGAATCCACTTTCCTCCTTTTTGCGGATTTTACCCATTATTTTCCTACCTGTTGTTATATACTTTTCTCCGCATGATCGTATTCTCTTTGTAGATCCTTTGGGCTTGAAGTACCACAGCAAGTGGCTATAACCGGCCGCGTGGTGGTGGTTAGACGTCTCCTTGAAAATTCGAGGTCGTATAGCCATTTTATACTACAACGTGTAGGTTGGCTCTTGTTGTGGACTTCGTGTGTAACGTTTTTTCCCCTCCAACTTCGTTTCCTCAGGTTACACCCGTATCGGGATGTGTGGACATGTGTATCTACTTTTGTAGTTTCATATGTGCATTCATTTCGGGCCTGATGAAGCCAACCAGCAGAAATACGTATCGCTCGGGTTACCTATCCTATTTTCTGCTCGAATCCACTTTCCTCCTTTTTGCGGATTTTACCCATTATTTTCCTACCTGTTGTTATATATATATATATATATATATATATATATATAAGATGATAACTTGAATAAAGGATCGCGATGGCCACTAACACTGTCCGAGTTGCCTTTCTGGCCATAGCATGAACGAAATCTGAGTTTTTTATATAAGTCACAAGATTCATCCGCATTTCTGGAATTTATTAGTACCTGCATAATGAGATGTCTCTTCCTTACCAGACGTAGCCCAGGTATACTCCGGTGCAATGGCGGCTCCATCCACCTCCTTTAAATCGCCAACAGGGTATATAATTTCGTATCCGGGACAAGTTTGAGGAAAGATAAACAGCCTGGAGTTCCTTTCCGCACTAGCCTCAGAGAAGCAAGTACCAGCTGCAGAACAATGAGAGCTGAACTCCTGACACTCCTGAAAATCAGCTTCCACCTGGGCGTTTTCTGAATTTCCAGCAACTTCGGTTTTTTGGATGTTGAAGTTAACTTCAGTGGCCTGAAAAAAATGAAATAACTTGTACATAAGGTCGAGAGACTAGGGGAAATCTAAATGCTTTTTAGGCATTGGATTTTAAGATTACGTGAACCTCAGGAGGATAAATAACATACCTGTGATGTCGAAGGCGCGGTTTGCACATGCCTATCAGACTTTTCATCTTTGCAGACAGTCTCAATAGAGGAAGTGGCACTATTGGTACGAGTTAAAATGTCGCAGTGAGATCGTGGAATCTCTTTCGCATTCTTCAAATATTCTGATTTTATCATTTTTCTAGGCAGAGCCAGTTTCTGGTTGTCGACGATCACATATACAAAATCTGAAAAGACATTAATTTTACATACAGTAATGGACAAAAGTATATAGACAAATTAATATTGTGCTGTATTTCTTTTTTAACTTGTTTTATTATTACACCAACCTGTATACATAATTCGTTATAGCATAATACTCACTTATACATAAATAAATTCATTAGACTCTCTTCAATAAAA